GGGGGGCTCCCACCCCCAGCAGCCCAGGGAGACGCAGAGCAGCTTTTCTCACCCCGGAGGATGCAGGCAGCAGAACCGCGGCGCATCTGGGCATCCCGCCGCTCCCGTCCTCCGGGGCGAGAAAAACCCCGTTCGTAACTGCAGATCCGATGTAAGTCGGATCTGCATAACTCGGGGGCTGCCTGTAATTGGTAGCTATGGATATGAATGTCCAGCAAAGATGGCAGCACAAAAGAAGGAATTAAGTTCACTTTTAATATTTTCATCCCTAAAGTAGGGTAAAAAAAGGACCCATTTGAAGTCTAAACGCTCTCAACATCAAACAGAAGTTTCTTCATATCATAGACCTATTTAAGGGATTTTTAAAAACCTATAGTTGCCCACAAACCTACTTTGTAGTTTTATCTAAAACCCTTTGCACAAACACAAGAGTGATGTAAGAATGAGTTTGCTATGGATTGTGTAAAATCAAAATATCTGAACCATTTAATCGCTTATCAAAGTTTGGTGCTGGCAATAAACGTAAATTAAAACTAATTGGTGTAATTATTCTTCCTCTGGGACTGAAATATGCACTTAATGAAGAAGAATCCCCCAACAGACATCTTATTTATGTGGCAATGAAAACATCTAGCCAAATGTTCCCTGACTGAAATTGTACTGAATCCTACAAAGCCAGTCTCTCTGAAGAAGGCTTCCTCTAATTATTCATTAGAGGGCAGTATTGCATCACACAAATCAGTGCACGTCTTCAAGTAAATGTAAGCTTAATATTGCAAGCTTATTCTGCATCAGTACTTGCATCCAGCCCTCCCCTAAAAAAAAAAATATTAAGCATCTCATTTGTATTCATCCAAGTACTGTATTACAACTGTGGGAAAGTTCAGAGTTAAGACACAAACATTATTTATGAGAATTTGTTTTCAGAGGACAGGGGAAGCCTAAGCACTGGTAAAAATGACATACTACTTCTAAAGAAGGCATAATAATTGGAGAAATTTAGTGGTGAGTCTTGCTGGTTGCAGAATGAAGCAACTATATAAATGCTTAACAAATGTTTAATCCTTCTCACATCAGTGTGTGGTAAGTACATTTTTACTTTTAACTACCCTCACTTTGCAAATGGAGAAATCTTAGTGGTTCAAAGTTACAGAGCAAGTCAGGTTAGCTGATCCAGAGTTAGAAAGGGCAGTTCCTGGGTCTCAAAATCATTAAGTGTATTACAGTTTGAACTTCTCTAGTACAGCACTCTACTCCGGCAACATCGATGGTCTGGCATGATCTTAGTTAGTTGGATGTCTACTTATCATAGGTGTGGCCAAGTTTCTTGTGGTCCCATAAAGTTTGTTTACAACTACCAGTCCCGGCTCTGTGTTCTGTGCTGGGGACACATAGGTCCGAAGGGTACCGGACTAGAGAGGTTCAATCTGTAAACCACGTTATTTTGGATAGTTGTATTCGATCATTCCTTAATGCCCTAACCTGAGATAGGGATAGTATCACATTAAAAACAAAACAGTAAATGCAAGAAGTATTTTCTGGTAAGCTAGAAATTAAAGTAAAATACTTCAAATGCAAAAGCTATGGATATTTAGTTTTAAATTGTGATTGGGGGAAAATATATGTTAACAGTTTTTAAAATCTACCCCCTCCTAGAAGCAAGACAATTTTTTGCCAAATAAAATGGAAAGGGTATACTCTATAAATGGGTGCTGCAAGATCCTGAACCTGCATACCATGAGATGCTTACCAGACTGTATTTCCTGTAAGCAGTTTGCAAACCAATGTGTCCAAATATATTTAAAAGCAGTAGCAGTACAGGCTGGACCTCCCTGGTCCAGCACCCTCAGGATCTTACTGGTTCCAGATGGATTTTGCCAGTCCAGAGAGTTCTGGTTGACAGAGGTACAATTTGTAATATTCTAAAGTTTGTTCACATAAATGGTCTTTCTATGGTCATGGTTGCACAGAGCACCTTTTTGAAGCTTAAAGGAGTGAGTCACAAAAGTCAATAGCAGGACTGTGACCCACAGAATCAAATATGCCTGTGATAGGATAGCTGGTTTTGCATTGTAGATGAGAATTGTCCACTTCAGTTAAAATCACTATTTTATCACTGGTTTATTGGTATGGTCTTCAAAGGTGTTACTGTCTCAACGGTGTATTTGGTTATACTATCTCATCATTCATTCATAACCAATTTCAAGATTCCAAATATCCAAATTTAGCCTAATATGTTGTGAAAGGTAAAACCGTTCAATACAAACCAGGGAGCCATGTACAGTACACTGCCGATAATCCGGAACCTGTGGGACCTAGGTGGTGCCGGATTATCAGATATGCCCGAGTATCAGGAGGTACTATAAACTGGTTATGTATGTACTGTATACAGTATATACTGTATATAAAGTGTTCTTAACCCTTTTTATTGTACATACTGTATACAGTATACTGTAATGTTTTAGGTTTTTTAACCCTTTTTTACCCTTTTTGCTCAGTTCAGTTGCTGCCTCTGTTACCTTGTGACTCATTTTTTTGCCGAAGCTCACTCACTAGGCTCTTGCCATTTTGATGAGGGGCCATTTTGATGAGGGACTATCAGGAGTGCTAGATTGTTGGATGCCGGACTGTTGGAGTTTTACGGTATTCTCCTTCCAGGAAGCAATTGGTTTCTTGGAGTTTGAAGCACACCTTCTGAATAAGGTGAACAAAGACCCACACTTGAGCTAGTAGTATTTGTAATCTGATTTTACAAGTTACAAAATGCCTTGCACCTTGTAAAGTTTAACTTGCTAGTTTGGTGTCAGGTTTATCCCCCTTCTAGTTTCTCATATTTCATTTTAAATACTACATTCCAAGTGTTGATGAGCCATGAAAATACTCCCTAACTGTGCTTGGTGAAAAGTCTTCATGCATCTTTCTGTTGACAAGTTTCTTATTTTCTAGTGCCAAAGCTGGCTTCAGCTTTGCAGTGTTGTGAGATTCTTGACAGGGGTAAACCGAAGTGGTGTAAGAGCCTAATACATTTTAGTTAACATCCCAGCACCTAGATGTGTATGGTGTTAATATACCATGCACGTCCACTATATATATTTTAGAGAGTTTGTGCGTCTGTCTGTCCATCCATCTGTGAGTCCGTTTGTTCAAGAACTCCTGAACGAGAGAAGCCAGGACCACCAAATTTGGTTTGCAGATTCCTCTTAGCATAACTTAATGCAAGGTCAGGGTTTGGTTGTGCCAAGACAATGGGATGTTTGTGGAATGCGATTGTTTTCGCATCAGATGGAAAGGGAGGGGTGTAATAGTGGGGACAGTTGTACTTACAAATGACCAAAGGCAGGCAGTAGGCACCGCAGCCACGGGACACAGCCAGCAGGCAGCCTCTGGGGGCCCTTTCCTCCCTGGACTGGCTTTGGGAGGAAACAAGCAAGTAGGGTGGACCCTGCTGCCCAAAGTCAGCCCTGAATAACGCTGGGTAAGTCTTCTAATATATATTCCCAGCTAACACTTGAGGGGGGAGGTGTGAAGGCAAAGGGCAGATGTTTTTTTCCCATGTCAGAATAACCTTTAAGCCCAAAGAGGTATCTTCCTGGAAGCACAGGTCATTAT